ATGAAATAAGAGAAAAAAAATGTTGAAAATGTAACCTTTCACGTATAATTTAGTGACAGATAAGGCCTTCAGACGCTTTTTTGACTAATTGCATACAAATCTTATCACAGACTTTTCTTAAAAACAAGATTATAATAGTTAAAAAAATTACGATTTTTATGGTCATAAAAAAGTAATGGTCCAATGGTGATTCTAAAAAAATATTTACGTGCATAAAATTTAAACTCGCATATAAATTTAATCTCGAAAAGTAAACATAATCTCATCTTATTTTTATTTGATGAAGATGCAGCTCTTGATTTACTATTGTATGTTCCATACTATTTTATTGAGATATACACGTAGTTTTAATATTTTATCCAAATCATGCAGATATTTGTAATTTTGGATGGCAAATTTTTGGTATTTTACTAAGAACTATCTATAAATATTTTTAACTTATAATTAGATCTTAAAATAGTTTTCACAAAAGCTGGAGAAAACCATTCATCCTCCCCCCAAGGTTGTTAATATTTGATTACAAAATGAGAGTATTCTAAATAGACGGCGGAATTCAATGTATGTAAATTACATAATTAATTATGTAATTAAAACAATCATCGTCTCTAACAGTATGGCAATCATTATTATTATTATTATTATTATTTTCATTATTATTAATTTATAAATTAATTGGAATCTATTATTCCGCTTCAAAAATAGTTTTATTATAATGTAATATAATATTTTATTATAATAATAAGTAGTATATAACAGAATACATTGCATTACATATTTAGAATAATTGATAACATAAATGACATTATTTACATTACAAAAATGTGGATAATTATGTATTAAAAAAACTGTAAAAAAATATTAGCGCCAGATTGAATTAAAATGTAGAATTATTCATAGAATCGAAACACAAAACTAATCTAAGTATTTTTATTTAATGTTAACATATCAATGTTAGCATATCAATTATTACTTTCAATTAAAAAAAATTTTTTTTTCTAGCATATTTCATTTACTTTCAAATATAATCACTAGAGCTAAATTCTTCTTTCTATTTTTAATAAACATTATCACACTTTTTTATTACGCATTTATTAACAATTCACATTTTAATAATTTGTATATATAACGAATAATTGATAAGCATATACACCTCACAAAATTTAGTTTATCTCGATCTATCTTTCATGTTCTTTTCTTTCTAAATAAATTTTTGTTGTTCCGTAACTTGTGTAAATTTCCGGTAATTGTCACATCTCTGTTATAGTTGATATATTTGATTTGTGATGTATTCGTTGGGAATGATGTGAGTTTTTTGATATATGCTTTTCAGACAATAATGTATGTGAAGATAGTGGAGCAGATTCTACCTGTTCCATAAATATAAATGAATTGTTAACGCCTTCGTCGTTAAGCTAGTTAGAACTACTCAATTTTGTTTGCAAACTCAGATTACTTTTTGACTTAATACCTCTTATTCTTTTTACTATCTTATATGTGATACGAGCTTTATTAGCAGAAATGATATCACTGAGAAATAATGTTCTTCTCGCTTGATCGTTTTTCTTCTTCGTTTTTGCACGATTTAATAGTAATTTTATCGAGTTACTCATGTGTTGTATTTGCGGTTGCCTGAAATATAACTTTCGTCGAGCGTTATGGAAATGTTCAGGAGCGTTGGTAACAATGCGAGTTTTATCGTTGTAAACATTAGATTGTTCATCAATATGTTTGAGGTATTCTTCTTTAGATGGCCATATGGCTTCCAATATGCTATCGATGGCATCGTTCAGCGATTCTTTATTCTCGTCGAAAGTATGCGATACTTTTGTACCTAAATGGTCATCCGGTTTGAGAGATTGAGATTTGTTATCCGAAAATTCTTCAAATATTCTTACATCCGGCTTTTTCTCGTAAACGATGTCGGTGTTCAGATCGACGCTTTCTTCTCCTGGACCGTCCAACCTCACCGCCGGTATCAATGACGTTATTTGCTGCTTCACGTCATCAGGCACTTCAGAAACATTAACGAGATGCTCGAACAGTGCTTTCAAGTACGAGCCTCTCGTCGCATAGGCCATGTGATCGAAACCTATAGCGTGCACCAGATTATCGTACTTACGTTCGAAAAAAATCGCTATCTTCACCGCGTCAGTCTCATTTATCTTCGTATAATCAATAGCCCGCATCACGCCGTACAAGTCCACGTCCACATTGGAATCGTGCGCATACGTCTTCAGTTCGATCGGCTGTGCACCTGTGGGGCCAGTGGTGATTATTTTATCTCTGAAGTACTCGAGAGCCTCCTGTTGCACGGGATCCTGCTGCACACTTTCCAGTTCCTGGCCCAAGTCCATAATAGCCTGCAAGAGTCGACCTTTTGTCACGTACGCGAATGGATCTCTTGGTAACTTCAGTTTACGCAGTAAATCAGGAATGGAGAAGAACTTGATGATACCACGAATGATTCTTTCGTTTCTCGTCTTCGGCAGCACGAAGAAGAGTGTTTGCACATTGATATCGTCCGTCGTTCTCAATATTGTAGGCTCAATCTTAATCTCATTGTGCAGAGTACGATTTAGATAATCTGATTCTGCGCGATGCTCGAGCGAAAAATCGTCTGGTCGATTGATCGTGTTAGTCAACATCAGGTCGTTGATCGCGAATAACCTGTCTTTATAAGTAGGATAGTCTGTGGCATAATTATTCCCGAAGAGGCGTTGGAATCCCCGCGACACTAAATATTTTCGAATGACGTTCACCTTGCTCGAATGATATCTATAATCGCGCATCTGTTTTAGCGCATACTCTACTTCTTCAATGTGAATATCATTCACGAGATGCTCCTTAAAACTCTCGATGCTCTCTCGTATCGTATCGTCGATATTTCCTTTTTCTACCTGTTTCAGCATCTGCAGGAGCAACTGTTTCGGCGTGTCTTCTGATAGCAATACCTTGTCCATTGACGTTTGCACATCTTGACATTGCATGAGAAACCTGAGATCATCATATTTGTGATCACTTGGAATTTCACCAATGGCTCGATTTATCTCGTAAGGTGACAGTACTTCAATGTACGTTTCAGTAAGCGACTCGTCATTCAGCCATGTTCTAGACAGAGTCATAAGATAGTCATGTAAAAACACTTCCATATCGTTAATCAAGGATTTGCTTTTGATTAACTCCGGTCTACTAATAAATTCTCTCATTATCACGCGCAGCATAGAAAGTACAGATCCATAAGGAAAAGCGCGATAAACATCTTCGACGGGCGCGGCTACGTCTTCCGCGTGACCCAGTGTGTACAGTCTTAGTGGCACCAGCTGCTGAAATTGTGGCGCGCTACTTAATCCTCGTGACAGATAAAGAAAGATTTGTTCCTTTTCGAACTTATGTATATTATCGCTGCAAGCTTCAAACGCGATTTTCAGGGGTCCGTCTATCTTCACATCACGCAGAAATAGTTCCGAGAAGCGCATCAATCTCGGCCATTCGCTATAACTGGTAATTGATGATGACTGACAGTCCAATTGAAATTGGAAATTCGGTGGCAATATCTGGATCAGATTTTCGGGCTTCAACACAAAATCCCGATAGCGTGAGCATGGTGCAGTGGCCACGACCACCGAGTTATATAGTGTTGTTACGCGTTCCTGTGGTATATATACTTGTTCCGGTAAGGACTCCGTGTTCTTCTCCAGAGAATCGAGGGCGGAAAACATCTTGTCATTTTGCAATCCCTTAATGTTTCGCAGAGCGGTTAACAGATCGAAAATACGCAGCTTGAAAGTCCGTGACGTTTGATACAGGTCGAGATCCCAAGGAAGAAGCGACGTGATGTCCGTCTTCGACAGGACTCGCAGCAAGGATTTTATCGAGGTGAAATGAGTACACGGGATCGCTCGTATCAAGACTTCCACATGATTCCGGGTAACGTCAACGTCGGGCAATTTCTGTATCAAGGTCTTGGCATTAGTCAATGCCTGCTTTGTACTAATGTCCGTGGGATTGGCCACCTTACAGTAGTGCAGGATCTTCGCGATCTTCATTTTCCGCGACTCTGTGCTGCTGAGATTGAAATAAATCGGCAAATAAGGCATCAAAGTTGCTAGCTTACAATTTTTTACAAGCAATTCCACGTCGGAAGTATTCAACGGCAATGTCGACAATAGCCTCTCAATTTCTGCGTCGTTCACTACAGGTATATCCGGCATCTTGCTGACGATTCTTTTAGCGAAATTGATTGAACTTAGCGAAGACTGAAACACGTTGCTTTTCGATAATTCGTTCAAGACTGCTAACACTCTCAGTTTCTTCGTTTTGTATTCAGTAAGCTGGAAATTCAAAGGTAAAGCCGAGATAACCTTCTTAGTCGTCATCTGAAATTTGAGTTGCCCAATTTGCTTGTACTGCTTGAACGGAATTTCTCTTATGATAGATCTTATATCGTTGCTGTCAATTGTCGATTCATACGGTACTATTTTGGAATTAAATTTTATCAATTCGCTTATGAGTGTATCAAAGGCTGTTTTCAGCTTATCGTTTTCCGCAGAAGATCCAAGAGTGATTCTCAGCAACAATAAAACATCATGTAACGCCATTCTAGGAGTAGACGCTTGCTTTATATTGAAATTTCCGGGTAATAACTTGATCAACGTGGAAAGTTTCAAATATTTTTTAACGAGCTCAATGTAAGGTACTCCCTCGGTAGGAAGGATGTTTAAAAGTGGCACAAGATCGTCCTCCGTGATGTCTGGAACGTCCGGATAAGTCTCCACTTCTTGGAGAAGTCCCTCCAATTCCGAATGAACGTCTGTATCTGATTTTAAAAGCTGCCGTAGCAAATGTAGCATTTTCATCTTATATGTCGGCTGATTGTCGAAAGTAAACGATTCCGGCAGTAAACTCATTAATTTTTCAGGTTTCATAAATTTACGTATTTTCGGTAGAGACATATTTAACAGGCTGACAAATTTAAGATCCTCGCTGGACAGCTGCTTAGAAACTAGAGGTCGGCGAAACGATTTCCTCACCGGGAAGATGCGTTCGCGCAAAGACTGTCTCACGAATCTCAGAGTCTTGTAAAGAATTCTCTTTTGTCTTAAGCTGGGTAATTGCAGCAGATTATCCAAGGCAACGGCGAGGGCATCGATCGACGAATTGTAATTAGTGTACTTGACATTAGGCGGTAGATACTTGATCATATTATCGTGATTCAGGAATATTTTGAGAGGCGCCAAATCGTATTTGAGTTTAAGACTCGCCAAAGTACGTTGCATGCTCTCGACATCTTGCTCAGTAATGAAGTTATAACGTTTCTCAAGATAATACCGTAATCTATTCGCCGATTTGTAAACATTCTCGTCCTCAATTTCATCCTCCATCAACATCAGCAGATAATGTAATCTTTTGGCCGAAGTAGAAAATATATTCCAATTCGTATCTTTGTACTTGATGTATTTGAAAATTTCTCCGGTCTCCAAGAATATCTTGATGGGTGTAAAGTCTTTCTTGTGTGGTATCAAAATTAGCATTTTTTGCCAATCTTCCTTAGTCAAATCTCTCTTTGAAGGCTTGCCGGAACCTGTCGTTAGCTCGAGAGCACGTTTGAACGATTGCAGATGTTTTTGCATGTCATAGTCGACGAGTGCTGGTCCTTCACGCAATAAATATTCAACGATATTTTGAAGTATTTCGATATTATTGTTGGATGCGTCGGAGAATTCCTCCGTGTTCAAATTACTTAGTATTTCGGGATTTAAGATGGAATTGAGATAATCTACATTGATTTGCTCAACGTGTCCAAGTTCTAGTAGCAACGGTCTGAGTTGAAAACTGGTGACGATTGGATAGCTCAAATGTTCGATATCTGACAGCAGCTTGTTTAATTCATTTATCGCAGCATAATCACTGCTGACTTCCGGCAAATCCCCCATCTTGGACAATAAAGTAATTAGTGGAGTTTTTGATTGGACGATCTCGTTATCGTCCGTTAAACGAGACAGCGTATTGACGTTAAACAAATGATTGATATGTTTAAATTGTCTGATGCTACGCGGAATGCTGCTCACTATGTCTTCGAGGTCCGAAATCAGCGTACTCGTGGCTTCTTTTTCTTTAGGTTGAATATTTTTTAGCGTTGGGAGCGCATCAAATAATTGCGTGTTATTGTCCATCTGTTGTTTCTGGAGAACGTGCAGTAAAGTGCGATACCGCTTTCTGGGATCAGTAATCGCAAGGATGGTGGGTCCAAACTTCTCGTTGATATCTTTTCTACGCAAGTATAATCTGATGGGAGCGAGCTCACTGGTATAAGTAATTCCCATATCATCAAGTACAGTTAATAGATCTACGTTCATCCCAAAGTCGAATACGTCTTGTCTAACGGCGCTCAACAGTCTGAAAATTGTGTCGTTCTTTTTGATCACAGGATGCAGTAACAAACGATGTAATAATCCCAGTAGCGATATTCTAGCCGATTTACTGGAAGGAATGGTAACTTTGATTTTATTTAGTTCGGTAGGGGTTAGAAGTTTTCTAACAGGTTCGTAAACGGCAGCCTTCATGGCAACAACAGCACTTCTTAGTGGTTCGATATTTGTTGTCCATCTTTTCAAGCTTGCCTCGACTTTGGAAATGGCTTTCATTAGAGGAAGGCTATTGGCGACATTAACCCGTTGTTTCGCGAAGTGTAGAATCATTAGCAAGAGTTCTTCCTTTTCTAACGAATCGGAGTTTCTGATGTTTTCGGGTAGAATGCTGTAAGCCCAATCTGGTATCAGCAGTTTTCTCAGTGATTCGGTGAAAGAATCCATAGGCAAAACTGATAGAGCCTTACCAATCCGTTCTTTACTGGCACGTAACGCTTCATCTAAACTTTCTTTATATGTAATTTCTTTGAGAATCATCGATGCGGCCTTCGTTCGATTCTCCATCTCGTTTTTGTCGATGATCTGCTGGAAATAATCTTGCAACCAAGCTTGTCGTTCTTCGGGCGAAATTATTAGGTTCTTCAATTTGCTTATTTCTAACAAAAGTGACTGATAAATAATATTACTTGGATCTTGCAACGATTGGATCAAGTAAGCGAAAATTGGCGTTTGACGATCGTCTTCATTCGCATCGTCCAAAGAACTCAATGCCGTCCTGACACGTCTCCGGAGCAATTTTTCCGCGCGTATTATACGAGACTCTGTTAAACTTTTCAGAAGCATAATCAAAGCGTCACGCGCGGTAGCTGTTTCTAAAGTTGCAAGATTCAATTTTGGCACGAGCTTCATAAGATTCGCTTTTCTCAGCAACAGACTCACGGGCTTCGCGTACGTATTGTTCGGCAGATACTCCAGCATTGCTTCCAATGTCTGTTTTTTCAGGATCTTAGTGTTGATCAGAATTTTTTCCTCCAAGATACTTTCCGCCTGTTTCACAAGGTCGGCAAGATTCGCGTCCGATGAGATTTGATAAATGGGGTAAGTCAAAGCTCTGGCGAGAACGTTTTCCGGCGTTCCACCGATGGAGATGTTCCAGTCACCGACATTCGTATATGCGTACGAGTCAAGAATTTTATCTTGCAATATTTTGTTATGAGACAACAGTTGTTGAACCAGGTACACAAAATCTGAGCGATCGAAAGTTTTAATCGGCAATGGTGGTCCATTGATATTATCGACAGCAAATTTCAACGCTTCGGAAAGTTTTGGCTCTGTATTTATCAAACTTACGGTTTGTAATATAAGCAAAAGTTTTTCTATCGGCGTGCGCACATTAGCCAGACTGAAAGTCGATGACAAATATGTGAACAATTTTTGTATCTTGAAGAGTATTTTCAGCGGCAGATATCGTGGATCGCTATCGATATACGGCAGATATTTTAGTAACAATTGCAAATCCTCTGAGATATATAAATTGATCAGCAGTGGTTCCTCAAGATAATTGTGAGCGTTCTGGAGAGCCCTAGATAACGGTTCGTCGGATTTGACTGGAGGAAGTGTCAGCGCTCTTTTCAGCATGGCTAGTAATAAGCTCCTCGGTGTTTCGTATTCAAACTTGTTGAACTCGAAGCCAAGAATATTGAGAATGTTCGGCTTGGACAGAAAATTTATCATAGGAGCGAATTTTTCGCTTTTGAAGATATTCGGTATGAGTCTCAGCAAAGAAAAGAAGTCGACCTCAACGTCCATTGAATCATCCCTCTGAAAGATGATGCCAGAATTATAGAGCAGCCCTCGTTTGAGGGTTAAACCGTTGACGTGTCCCTTGTAAATGAAATTGTCGATAACGTTCGCTTGCGTCTTGTTTAGCGGGACATTTTTTAAACGGATCAGCGAGGTCAAGATTAATTCCCAGGGATTATCACTCACTCGTCTATCCCCGAAGGCGTAGGTCCATGGCAGATCCTCGGATAAATAGGGACGTAACATTTTCATTGCGTCGCTAATGTTCTGCTGCAGACACGGCGCATCAAAGGAATCTAAGTAGTCGTTGACCTCATAAAAGCTAATTGGCACTGTATAGTGATAATTGGCATCGTTCACCAGTTTTTGCGAGACGAAAGATATCAGCAAGGACAAAGGTTTCCTTAAATGCCGCAGATGTGGTTTTCTACGGAGACAAGATAGCACTTGTAAAAGAGCCTCATCACCTGTCTCATAGAAACCAATATCGAGATCTTGAAAATGCGAATCGTCAAGATGGTCAAAGAGATATTTAGCTACAGCGACGATGTTATCCGGGTAATAACCGTTCATCACCATCAAGAGCTTCTTTAAGTTATCTTTGCTCTTGAGAGTGGACGGATAAGGCTCTACATCGAAATTCTGAAGTAATAATGAAGTTGTTTCTCTAATTACCTCGGATGACAGCTCATCTGTCTCCAGTCTTTCAAGCACAGTTTTCAAAAAATTCGTCGTGTTCTCTAGATTCGGTCCCATATATTGCAGTAGAGGGTCCTCCGAACTCGATCGCTCCTTCAATCGTTGCGCGATAAATTTGATGGCGTTGTGAACTTCCGGATCCGTCAGATCAAACGTCGGATAATTTAACAATATCGCTGATACTGTACGCAGATTAAGAATCTGATCGCCATTGCGAGCTGCTTGTAACAGAAAGTCAATGCCTTTCGTCAAAGATGGAGGCACCACGCCGGCCCTTCGCTTATCGCGCGAGACCGATTCGATCACTTTCTGATCTATGTTGAGCAACATATCGACGAGCGGCACCTGCTCTAAGACGGCGTCGACGTCGGAAAAAATGTTTATGCAGAGCGACGCGTATTCGGAAATGAAGCGGTTGTCAACCCTCTCCAACATTTGTAGGAGCTTATATAGTTGCTGCCTCGGTGGCTTATTTTTCAGTGCCGGCAGAACTTGAAGTAATTCGTAGACCGCGACTCGACGATTTCGTACGGCGTCGTGAATCAACTCGAAGGGTATTCTCACGTTGTCGTTGAGACAAAGCAGGAGAGTACGGCCTAACGTCGTTACCAGATTGTCACGCAAAACTGCAGCAGCCTCCAAACGCGATAAAACGTCCTGCGGCGTAAGAGCCGGATGTTCAGTAACGCTTTGTAAAGTCTGACTAGGTACCATAGAGCTTCGCGCGTTACAATGCCGATTATTATAATGCTTCTTTCCGTGCGAGTTCTATCAAGTGGAAAAGCAGATGCAAAGGAAAGCAAATTATTTTGTTTTTCTTTTTTCACCTTTTCTTCTTGCTGTAATATAGCGTGAGGAAGTATGTAAATGTGATATTCGACATATTATTTATGCTTACCGATACTTGTCGTTCAGCAACAGATTCTGTAAATTGACAGATCGATATTACGATCAATATTACAGCCCAGTTTATTCGAAACGGGATTCGGAAATTTGCAGCGTTATATCGATGATTGAGTGCCATTGTTCTTCTTTTATCTTCTGTAATGCAGTCTTTAGGATAATTGAAAGCTGCATATTTTCTATTAGTCATCTAGAGAAATATTTTAAGTTATATTTTAATTGTAGATCTTAATCTGAATATTTATTTGTGAAAATTTGGCCAGCAAGAAGTATACTCTTTCTACTAGTACTCGTATATACATTGTACAAAAATTTAAATATTTTTCAAAATTTTATGTGTCACGCTGTTATACTTTCCTTATCACTGATTGTGCATAAAAATCTATCTATATTTTCAGTGTGATATTATTCTTTTGAATTTTTATGTCTGCACTTTATCACAACACAATGCGCTTGCTATGACAGCATAAAATTTCAATACACATTGATAAGAAATTAATATGCAATAACCAAGCTAAGACACATTATTTCTATATCGTAAAAGATTTATCGTTTAACGTATGATCTGTTAATTGTTTAACTGCAATATACATATTTCAAATTTGTAATTTTAAAATAATTAAAAAACTGATAATAAATTTTACAAACATATGCGCAAATATAAATTTAAAGAATAAACTAGTAAATGAAAAAAGATGGCTAAAAAAATAAAATTGTATAAAAGTATAAATATGTAAGAGTATACTGTATTATACCAGTAAATTTATTATCCAAAATATACTATAAAAATATTATTTCAAATATTTTTTGTTAAATCAATTAGTTCATAAATAAATACACGAATGTGTTATAAATTAGAAAAAAATCTACCACACATAATTTTAAAACTTTTACTTGTCATTTTTTGTATAGGCTATAAACTTTTATTAAATCATTATTATAAGTAAAGTATGTAAATTAGCATCAATTTAATCGAATATTTCACACGAAGCAGTATAATTGAACAATGAAAAAATTGGTATATAAATTACAAAAAGCCATACACAGATAATAATCATTGATAATTCTATCGATTTTCACGAATTCATTGTATCAGAAAGCTTATCCAAAAGAATACTCGATCTAAATATGCAGGTAATTAATTTGTTTTAAACTAATTACATCACCATTTCCTGTGACAATATTGGAGACTTACTGTACAACAAATACAAAGCACGTATTTCTTAATAAAATGATATCCTTTTGCGAGCGGTTTTACTTGAAGCTCCCTTGCTTTTCGTGATTGGCGACAATGAACTCGAAGACGACAATGTCAGGACGACGGACCTATCTACCGGTCAGTGCCAACGCTGTGACCGATTAAATCTCGCGGGTATTTGCGGTGGCGAATTACTAATTGATTTCAAAGCCTTCTCTGTTTATTTGACACAGTGCAAATTATGTTCTCAATGTGTACCGCTGTGCAGTCGAGTAAGGCAATGCACTCACACGTATGCGTCGTGAGGCGATAATGCGATATCGAGAGCGTACGAAAATAAATGGCGCGAACTAATTCTATGAAATTGTTTCTATACATACTTTCATGGGTGATTAATCTAACGATTATAAATTAACAGAAATATTTGTATCGACCTTGGTGTAATTCACTCTTTCGATTGTGTCAACGAGCAATTATTAAATAAAACAAGTTTGACAATATAAAAGTATTTAATAAATGCGTCATATAATTTATAAAAATTTGTAATTCACATAAGAATAGGAGAACTTTTAATTTGTAAGATCTGCTGCTTTATACAGCATTTTTATTTATTAATGCAAATCACTAGAGATAATAAACAATTGCAACTATTTATCTCTATTATCAATGCTCTCGTTAACGACATAATAGACTTCTGTCCGTAAAGAGAAAACGGAAACGTTCACGAACTTTCTATTTGTTCGGATACGTCTCGACGCACTGACGCCAGAATGAAATGAATGCTGAAATTCCGTGTCCGCGGTTAAACTCGAGTTTCTATATATGGATGTGTGTTATTACAATTTCAAACTTATATATATATTCCACAGAACACTGCTATACCATCGCTGTTCCACGATCATATTTGAATATTCGAATATATACTTCTATAACTGTATTTCTTTAATCACTTCTTTCGTCCAAGTTTCTCATTAGTAAAAGAATTATTATTTTTTTAAATACTAAACGAAACTATCTTATATCATTGTATCATTTATTAAATCCCAAACACAATGCAAGGGATCGTGTTATTCCTATCGCTATTTCCTCGCATTGTGTCTTTATTATCATTTTTATTTTTATATTATATATTCTAAAATTTTCTGTACATTTTCTGTACTACGCGTACAGAATAACTAACAAACTCTTAGTCCTTTTACTATGTGAATTAATCACAATAAATATCGTAAACAAAATAAATAATTTAAACATTACTGCACATTTATGAGGGTAAAGCTTTGCTATACCGAAAGATGATTTTGCTGAAGTCTAAAAATTTAACTTAGATGTACACATCTGAAAATAATTTTATTGAGCTGTCGAAATAATTATGTACTAATAAAAAGAGATTTTTCATGAAAAAAACGATTTTGCTGGAATATCAAAACATTTTGCTAGATGCGGATTCTGAAAATAATATTATCATAAACATCAAATAATTATGTAGAACGTTCAAGCGCAATGAGCAATGCTGCTTAAAAAATGTTGACAGTAACTATAATTTTGTAGTGACTATAAACTCCAACATAACTTACTTTGACGTCTAATTAAATTATTTTCAGATGTATATCTAGCAACATTTTTAGATACTCCAGCAAAACTTCTTCCCGTGTAAAAGCTCCCTTTTACCAGGTACTTCACGGTGGCATCTGTACTTGGTATAATATATGTCGAAGGGAGTTTACCGAACGCTTCGACAATAATAAAAGCGTTGCATCGTGTTTTCCGAGAACATTCTTTTTTTGCGACTAAAGGGAGTATCTTTCTGCACCGCGTGCTCGCCGACGCGTGCATAACGAGGCTGTCCTAAGAAATCTGAAAAAAAATGCTCCAAGAGAAAGGGAAAGAGCAAAGAAGACGCCTTAAGAGTCGCTCAGCTTCTCAACGCACAATTGACATCGACCGAGGCGGAAAGAATCGCTGACAGGGCCACGATGAATTATCGTGTCTCGGTACGTGGTAATTAATTATCGTGCTTAACTCTCTCCTCATCATCGTTGTGGGTCTGCACGAACGTTCGCGTTCCGAAATCGCGTAGATTATCAACACCATTCACTGACGCGAGATTAAACAATTTCAATTCACCGAACGACAAATTAAATGAACGATCGACCGAACGAAAAGTGCCGATTAACGCGAAATATTTCATCGCGCGTTATCTCGCATTCGCGAGCGTTAAAGAGCAGATTATATGAAAGCCATTAAAATTTTAATAACAGCCCTTGGAGAAATCGCAAGAGTTGGATGTATCTCGCGTAGATGACGCGGGCCTGATAAACTCTTTTGGTCTCATCCGTTTGGATGTTTTCCAAAAATACATTTTTCCGTACTTCGACCTCGCAATCACCGCGATCTCGAATTAACGTGAGTTATAAATCAGCATTATTTCTCGCAGAGAAAACATTTCGATATACCGATCGAAAAAAAGAGGGCCAGATCGAGATTAATCCTGTTCGCTTGTTCGACGACAATCGAATTTTTATAAGCGGCTGCATAATGCCGATAGCTTATCGCATTCACATCGGAACGGTGTCTGTCTACATATATTTTATAAACTGCTGCGCGGTAGAAAGGAGACATTATTTTCAAAATGCATCGAATGGATATCTCCTCCGGCTACATTTTTCTATAGACAATAATCACACATTTGTATACAATATTAGAAAAATAGTATAGATTATAAACGTCTTTTACGCTTTCCTTTTGTTTTTTTTTTTTTTTGAATTTTAGAATATTTGAAAATTGAAAATAAAATATTCTAAATTTTACCAGACGTATGCGGAGTACATGTTTGAATGCTTCAATATCGTAATAATTGTTTTCCGATGTAGATAATTAAAACATTTTTTTCACGCGAGTGAAAATCGTTTCTACTAAAGCCAGTTTTATATAGACATACTCGAAAAATGTCCTAACGTAATATGAGAAGTACGTCGGAATGTGAGCGCAATCTCGCCAACAAGCGACATCCCATCAACCGACATCGGATTGCAGCAATCCTGTCACAATAGAGACGACACGCACCTCAACCTTGTCAACGAGCCCCGTCGGCAAATTTTCCACATGATACGACCGTCTTAATAAGGACATCTCGGCGCGACGATTCAATTGTGAGCCGAGATCGCTCGTGCAATCTCGACATCTAAATTCGCGCCGGATGATGTTTGACCGGAAGACTTCTTCGCGTGCTCCCAGGGTGGACAGGAGTATATTTCTCCAATTCTCTGGGGCAGCGGTATATACACGCTCGTAGACACGTACTTATGTAGGCGCAGAAAGAAGGGGAGAGGCGGACGGTCCGATGCAGATGAGATAGTATCGCACATCCAGTAATCGTCAGATCTCAGGAACGGTACAATACCGGTCGTTCTCCACTGTTCGGGAACACTCAACATCGCGCGACAATGGCACCGGAATGGGCGACAGCTGCTTAACGCTCGCCCTCGCGCCTATACGATTCTCTCTATCGTTCGCTATCGGAGAGTTTTTAACTACGGATTTTCGGTACGCAAAAAATAGATCCGGGGAATGCGAAACTCGCATCCGTTGCGCGAGGAAGATGTGTATACATGCAAGCTATGGGACGATCTTTAGAAAGAAAGCGACCTCATCTTTTTTTGTCGACACTCTAGACTAATTTTGCACTTGGCTTCTCATTTCCTATAGTAAGATAAATATATTCGAACTTTGAAACGGTTAAAGATGATGCGTAAAAAAAGGATAACAAATGAACTTGTTGATTTAACTACTGGATTCAAACAACGACTGGATTTAAACAAAATTAGATTTAATCTTGCTAGTTCATTCAGATTGATTTGATCCAAAATATAATTTATCTTCCTACTAAGAGCTTGTTTAGAAACTTTTTTTCTCTAGGTCTATTTGATCTATTTGATAACTTTAACGTAAGTAAAAGATCTGTTAATGTAAGATCTTTTTTTTTGTGTAACTTT